AAAAAAAAAAAAAAAAACCCTACACTTGAAAGGATTGAATCAAATCACACACGATACTCTTGTGGAGCTGACTTAGGTGGCACTTGAAGTCTCTCTCTCTCTCTCTCTTCAATCAACCGATGGCATCAACTTAGGTGAAAAATGGTTGGATTTGGTTTGAGATGGGCTTTATAAATTCGAAACCTACCGCAATGTTACTAGTCGTGAATGAAAAGATCATGATCCTCCTCCATCAATACTACAATATTATTCACCAACTAAATCCGAAAAAAATATATTGTCCTACTTATGGTAAGATTGAACCCTTACTTTCGTTACTATCTCCCTCCCCACCCCAAAAAAAAAAGAAGAAGAAGAAAATACTAAATAAAGATAGATTTGAGTCAAAACATGTCAAATTGAATAACATTTTATTTAAACATAATTTTAATTTATACTGGTTTATATCAATATATATATATATATATATATATATATATATATATATATATATAACAATAAAATTTCGTGAGAGGTGGTTTAAAGAAGTTTTCCTCTCTAAATACTAAATTCGTATACGTTTGAATAATTGAAATAGTCTTTTAGAATTAAATTCTTCCATGTATTTGATGTAAAAACACTTCTACCATCTTTATTAACTACAGCACATTTAATTTTTTTAAAAATTACTTCACATATAATTTTTTTTTTAAATCTATTCAGCACATTAACATATATTTTTTCATTAATGTTAGGGTGGAGTGGGGTGGGGTGAGAATAGCGGTGAAGAATTTAATGAGTAAGATAGGAGGTGATAATAAAAGAAATTATAAATTTTGTGCATCACTAGACATAATTTTTAAATAAAACTTGATTTTTTTATGTTTCGTTTGGTACGATAAAAAAAGGAAAAGATAAAAAGTTGGAAGAATGGAGAGTTGAAGAAATAGATAAAATATCATATTTGGTGAAGAAGGAAAATAGGAAGAATGGAAAAGTGGATGAATGAATTTTTCTTCTAACTCACCAAATTCAATCCATCCAAAATTGTAAGGGAAGTAGATGAAAAATTAATTATTTGTGTTAAAATGTATCTTATTTGTCTATATATCCATTAATATCTATATATATATATATTNCCAAAATTGTAAGGGAAGTAGATGAAAAATTAATTATTTGTGTTAAAATGTATCTTATTTGTCTATATATCCATTAATATCTATATATATATATATTAATTTCATATAAAAATACAATGATAAAAATTAATCATTTAAAAAAAATAAAAAAAAATATTTTTTTTCATCTTACTAAGTAAAATAAAAAATTAATCATTTTTATTTTTCATTCATCTTACTAAACACAAAAGAAATAAAATGTATTATTCGTACTTTTCTTCTTCGAAAGATAGATAGTGTATTTTTCTTACTTTTCATCCTTACTATCAAACGGAGCATTATGGATAAATTGTGCTTTGCACTTAAAAAGTTTAAAAAAATTTATATTGTATCTGTAAAGATTAAATTACTCATATTATTTTCTCAATATATTAAAATTGTTGTAATATGGTCATATCGTTTATTTTCGTTGTTTATTTCATTGATGACAATAGAATAATTTTTAAGGTAATTAGTACCAGAAGCTTGCAATAATATCATATTATAATATTTTTAATATATTAAAAATATAATATAAAAATTATAATCTTTAAAAGATGCGAAGTGCAATTCTGAGCAAATATCGAAAACTCGCAAAACTTAGATGCGATCAATCCCATGTAACTTGTTTTTTCCCCAGCAATCTCAATACTACTTTGGCGGTCTCTCTCTCTCTCTCTCTCTTACACACACACAGAGTCCCACAGTTGTAAAGCTTTTTGTGCTTGCTCTGGTCCTCCACCTCATCGTCTAGACTTCAACTTTTTTTCCGCCAATTTAGAAGAAAGACCTCAGCAGGTGAAGAGGAAAAGCAACAGTGATACTTCCCGTGATTTGTAGCAAATTTTTTCCACTCCTAACTTTTCTTTCTCTTTCTTCATTCAAACCCACCCAACAACTCTCTCGTGTCCCCAAAAATCTTCAAACTGTTCACCCAAATCTCCAATTCCCCACTCTAAATTCCTAGTTCTTGTTGTAATCTAGATAACACTGGGTTTTCATGGCTCTTTCTGATCTTGTTCTGGTAAATTCTTTATTTCTCTTCATAGATTTATGGGCATGTTTGAACTTGTTTAATTAAGTACTTGTCTTTGTTTTTCAAATTGATCCAACTTTTGTGGTGTTTTGTTGTCCTTTCTGTTCAAAGCATCTGTCCTTTTCTCTTCTTGTACAGATGTTGTTCTTTTTTTCGTTTGATTCTGATACTAAACAAAGTGTGGCTTTTTGGGGCTGATTCAAACTCGTTTATCTTGGATACCGTCATTTTTTTGCCTTTTGCCTTTAAAAAATTAAATGGTTTTTTTTTTTTTTTTTTTGACATAGGCTTATGTCATCTCTTTTATCGACAATTCATTGAGCATTTGATTCTAGCAATGGAATCAGAGGGTGATAGATGATACATAAGTTAGAAGAAATAAAATCATATAAGGGGTAAATGATGCTGAGGTTAGGTTTGTTATTTCATCAGTTTTTACCGACTCTGAAAATTCGTTTAAATTAAATATATGAGGCGGCAAGAGCAAATCCTCCAGATGATCTGATGGGAAATATGCCAGATTTATTCCTTTTTTTGGTTTTTGTCATTTTAATTAAATATGATAATTGTTTCAAATTGATATATGTTGTATGAATATGCAAATATTTGCCTCATGAACAGTAGGAGAAATATGTGGGAGTAGATTATCTTGTTTGTTTATTTATTAGATTGACATAAGCTAGCAGTGCTGGTGTGAAATTTTATCATTTTTTTTTGGGTATCAGTGGGAAATTAGCAAGATTTGGATTAATTCTAAGTTTTTTATCTGTTATATCTGCGTCGGTTAAACATAATTTCTCAGAACTACATTAGGCTTATAGTTACCGCGCAGCATGGGTATTTAAGTAGGTAAACTTGGTTACGTACTTGATTGAGTATTGAGTCAACTCCAAATTTATTTGTTCCTAAGTAGAAAGGGCAGGAATGGAAAATGTTTATTTTCTCATTTCGTAAAGTAAGAAATGTGAGTATAATTGTTTCTTGTTGAATTATGATGCTGTTGTTGACTTGTATATGTGTGGAATTGGTCGGTTATTGTAGGGTTTGAATGCTGCATTTTGAAGAAAGTCAAGGAATATCTGCACATCCTTCAATTTTGGGATTTAATATGCCTGAAGATAGCTTCTCTAAACGTGTAGCGGGTTCTGCAATTTCTGTGTTTCTCTATCTGATTTTGCCAGAGATGGGTTAGTATACAACATTAGGACCACATCCACCTTCGGTTTACCTTGGAAGCAGAAAAATGATGAATACTTTGCCTGGAACTAGTGAAATAGTCGAATCAGTAGAAGATTTTGATTCTGAATCAAGAATGGATGAAACTGATGGACATCATATGGTGAAGCCTGGACCAAAGGGTTCTATAGAGGACGATATTAATAAACTATTTGAGGCGATAGACATCAGGAATTCTCGTCAAGTTGCTAAAGATGCTTTACGGAAGAGTGCCATGAAAAGACCAATTAGAGATTGTTCATCTCCAGTGTCGGGTATTGGAATTTCAGAGTCCGTGAGTTTGAAGCAGGCATTAAGAGGATTATGCATCTCTCAGGCGTCAGAGATGGCTGCTATGAAGCGGTCATCAAAACCTTCTAGGTTGTCAGGAGTCTCAGAAGCTGGAACTATTAAGAGGTTGTACAGGGCAGTGGTAGTTGAGGCCAGTGATTCTAGTTATCCCCTTAACGAAGGTAAAGGGAATGTGGTGATCTCCCTTGTTCCGGAAAGTAGCATGTCAGATTTGTGTGAAAGGGTACCTCAATCTCATCATGTCTCCACGGTAGAAACGTCAAACCAGAGTGCTTGTTCTTCTACTCTTTTGGCAGATGCATCAACAGGAGAAGCAAAAATAACCATAACACTACCACAAGATGATATTGTTCCCTTGCCAACTACAGTTGGTGGTGAAATTTCAAAGACGAACCAGGGCCAGTGCGGACAGATAATTTCGACACAATCTTCAATTTCCACTCACTGTAGCAAGAAGCTCCCAATGCTAGATGAGGTTCTTCCTGCATCGGTTGAAGTTTTGACTGAATCAGTACTGCAAGACAAGGAGCAAAACTTCAAGTTGCATTCTGCATCTTATTCATCTGGCTCTACTGCTGGAAATAAGGTTATCAAACCTGCAAGCAGTAACCCCCGTTTAATTAAGCCTGTTTTTGGGAACAAGAGCTTTGTGAAGAAGAAAATCAGACAAGCTTTAACTTCTGTGACCAGTAGTTCCAATCACTGTAATGTAGGAGCCGATGATGACTCGGGTCCTAGTACTAGTACAGTGGTTTGCGGTACTCCTGACAGTGCTATGGTGAATCTAAGTGAAGAAACAAAGAAAGCATCTCCTGCATCAAGGAGTGCAAACATAAGCATTGAAATCAGTTCAACTTCTGCAAACTTTAGTGTTGGGAAACCAGATCTCACTTCAAGGTGTTGCAGCAAAACTAGAAGTGTACTTACGAAAGCTGATGAAAGCTCCAGATCAAGAGAAAAGGGGGAGTTCTCTCAAAGCTCAAAAAGTAGCATTGGTGAGTATAGCAGTAGTACAAGCTTTAGTGAAGAAAGCAATCTAAGTGGATCTAGTCGCGGTGGCTACAGGCCTCACATGTCAAAAAACTTGAGATGGGAAGCCATTTGCTGTGTTCAGAGCCAGCACAAAAGCTTTGGCTTGAGACACTTTAAGCTGCTTAGGAAGCTTGGTGGTGGCGACATTGGGACTGTCTACCTTGCTGAGCTAATTGGCACAAACTGCCTTTTTGCTTTGAAAGTTATGGACAATGATTTTTTGGCTAGCAGGCGGAAAATGTCAAGGGCTCAAACTGAAAAAGAGATACTGCAAATGCTGGATCATCCATTCCTCCCTACCCTTTATGCCCATTTTACAACAGATAGATTCTCATGCTTGGTTACGGAATATTGTCCAGGCGGAGATCTTCATGTGCTGCGGCAGAAGCAACCCGGCAAGAGTTTCTCTGAACAAGCAACCAGGTAAGCATTTCACAATGCGTTATTGCCAGTATTTGGTGTATTGTTCATTTGAGTTCATGAGAAATATACTTTACACATTACGGACTGCATAATAAGATAGATGCATGCAACCTGTTAATGAATTGCTCCTGCCTGTGTATATTGTGGTCTTAACATTTTGTGTCAGTGTAGAACTACTTTTGTCTTGTACGTATATTTGGCTAAGCCATGCCACACAATTATCATCTCTTTCTGGTCTCTATTTCGTCATGTGACTGGGTTTATTAAGACTGAACGTGCAGAATTTTTAGGAAAAAATTAGGATGAACTTACCAGATGATCCTTAAAAGTTAACATGGTATATGCTGAGGATGTTGGCACGTATATCACACATTCTGGATAAAAACATTATCACTTGAATCTAATATGTTTTCGTTTGAAGTGCGGATGGAATCATGGAAGGATGAACTTTCCAGATGACCGTGGTTCTGCTGAGGAAGTTTGCACGAATATCACACATGCTAGACAAAAAAAATTTGCTCTCGAATCTAATATGTTCTAGTTTGAGGTGCAGAAATCTGCTTGTTACATACTAGACCACAGCCAATGGGCTCCCGCATTCGATTTTGGGTTCATACAGCTGCTATTTTTGTAAGAATTGCTATCAGAGATGCTAGGCTGCTATTGGGATATTGGCCTTACCGTCTGTGATGTTGTGTCTCTAAAAACTACAGGGTTTTATTGAATAATTAAAAGATCATTGATATCAACAGAAGGGGTATAGAAGTATCACTCAGGTTAGTAAATTTAAAGTCAAAAAGGTGAGACTGGAAATATTGCATTGTTATGGTTCTGCAGGACCTTGAATTGCGGTTTCTACTGACTAATTGAACATCTAATAGGGTCCACCTTCGATAACCCATGTGCGACCTATTAGTTGATGCACTAAGTTCACCAGTACAGGAATGATTTGGCGCCCAGTGCCCTTTGGTTGCCTTGATGAGTGCTGTCTATGGGCCTGTATCTTTTTTTTTTTCCCATCTGAAACACGTTANTCTAATAGGGTCCACCTTCGATAACCCATGTGCGACCTATTAGTTGATGCACTAAGTTCACCAGTACAGGAATGATTTGGCAGTGCCCATTGGTTGCCCTGATGAGTGCTGTCTATGGGCCTGTATCTTTTTTTTTTTCCCATCTGAAACACGTTATTTTGTGGACATTTCTAAGTTATAATAGTTGGTGTATACGTTGCATGAGAACCATTTGTAGTTATAGGACTTTTAGGTTTATTTGTTCAAGATTGGATTTTGATTGAAATGTTCACATACATAATATAACAAAATGAAAGCTTTGTTTTATAGCGAGTAATTATATGTAATACTCAATGGTATTTCAATTGGTTTAGGTAGACCAATCCAAACCCATCTAGTTGGGTTTCTGGGATAGGTTTGGATATGAATATGAAATATTTTTACTATCTCCCACATACTTGGGGTCTATGAAACACGGATATAGATACGAAATACAGGTACGATACGGATACGACGATACGACAAAATCTATAAAAGTAGGATATAAGTATGGCTAAGATACGACTATAATAAAATATATTTAATATTTTTATTATTTTCAACCAACTTAATACTTAGTTAGTTCTTTAACACACAATAAGAAAAATTAATAATTTTTTTAGTTTCAAGAAAATATATATCGTATCACTATGGTATATTCACAAAGTGAAGTGATTAATTAAAGAAATCAAAACTAATATTTATCTAGTATTTAGAAGTAATTTTTGCTAAGATTATAATTTAATAGTTTTATTTTATGCTCTTTTGACATGTAATTGTAGATAATACTTAAGAAACACTCATGTTCCTTTGAAGTAATATGAATTTTTGTTAATGTATTATATGGTATGCGAATTCGAAAAGAGATGTTAAAAATTTAACTCAAAAATTATATATGTTGGTCGATCACAAAAGTATCCATAAAGTATCATAATATTTAATTATTATCGAATACGTAGAAAGTGTATCCGATATGTATCCGACAAGTATCGTATTCGATACGGATACGCCAACCTCAACGAAGTATCCGTACTTCATAGCTTGGGATTGTATAAGAATAAAAGAAACATGTGGACCCCGCGATGTGACATAAAACCTGATGGTACTTTTTGTTATTATGGTAGTGTTTTTGACAATAATGTTCTTCGTCCAATGAAGTGTTTAATTTAATGCAAAGGCAAATTAGTAATTTTGGTAATAATCCCAATAGTGATAATTTGGACCCTTTTTAATACCACCTCCGGTGGGTTTATACTTTATATAAACTGACATATGTACTATTCAAATTGGGTCAAGGAAAGTCAAATTGTTTAATATTTCATGCTTATAAATGAATAAAACATGGGTTATGTGGTCTCCTGGACTATTTTGCCCAATCCCACCCATTAATACACCTTTTCCCCATCAACCAAACAGCACCTATGCACTATAAACAGAAATTGAGTTCCGGAAAAATTGTGATTGTCATAAGACATCTAAATTGCCTACCTTATTTGTGCTTATGTTATAATATGCATTTGCCTAGGTGCTCAGTGACTTACCTTCATTATAATATTATTAATGAAGTATGCGCGTATTAAGACCAAAAGCCAACAGCCATACATTATCCCAGTTACGTGATTGTAGTACAAATACATTGAATATTATAGATCTTTAAAGTGCTTTTGAACCTTTTCAATTCCCTTAAATCAAAGTTATAAATAATATGCTCCCCATTCATATTGATAACCAAGTGCAATCAACAAATATTGACACAGATAACAACCTAGTTGATTTGAAACTCATTTGAGAATAGTCTAAAAAGAATTTGAGAATCTAAAACTCTTAAAATTTTGAAGGCAAATTTTGGGATGACTCAATTTAAGCATAGTTTGGCTGCTAGCTGAATTAGTTTATTGCATTTACAAATGTAAATACTTCTAATTATTTTTAAATTTTGATTCATGAGGACTGGCTCAACCAGTGATGGAATAAATAAAATTCTTTAGCATATTTGACATCTGACTCCATGGAAATAAATAGGTCCTGCAGATGTCCAAAAATATCCTTGAGTTTAGAAAAAAAATAATATTTACAAGAAGTAAAATGAAATGTAAATTCAGAAAATAAAATGAATATACCACAAACACAAGCTTTTAATCATGGTCTAATGAGAGAAAATTTATCTACCATTACAGATAATTAATGGTAAATATACAAACAAAACAGGCAAATGGAATTATAAAAACCCAGACAAAAGCAGAGTAGGCCCATATCTGACAACAGAACAATTTAAAAGCTCAATATCCGAGATTCCGAGCAATTCCTTCCTCGGATAGAGCGTCACAGAAACAAGAAAGTTCTGGTTGCACATATGAAAATTATGTCTCTAAAAATCATTTGTGATCTAATTATGTCCAGCTGGGGAGAATAGCTACCTGGCCTTTAACTGCTGGGAGCATCCATCTCAACTGTAATGAGGCTAGTGAAAACAATGAAAATATATGCTGAGATTTAGGGAAGCCAACAAGAACGTGGCTTAAGGGATCTTTACCTTGAACACAACCTAACTGTGGAAATGTTGAAAGCAATGTGGTCTTGGCACATAACTCTCAGAGTGAACTGCCAATCAAGAAATGTGACCTTACCGGGGTTACATCGAATTTGGGTGACATTGAAGATGCTGGTGATGGAGTAAAATAACCATAGAATACAATGGGCTTACAATGGTAACCAAGAGAGGTGTCTGCTGGCATTATGGTTAATTAATTAACATAGATTAATTTAATGTTAATCTTAAGAGATCAAAGGATATCATGGGCTTTATAATAATCATTTAGGGCGAAATTGAAAATGAGAAGTCTTTTAAGTTAGCTGACGTTTATAAATTCTTTATTTTGGGTTTTGGCAATATCAGGTCATGAAATAACACATTCTCTGGCATGAGTATTTCACTTATTTTTTGGTTTTCGACTCTGCATTTGTCTGCGTTTTGCATACTGGGCATGTCCTACATGGATGAAACAATAGGCCAGTTGTGTTGTTGCTTAACACTGGTAGTTAACAGACATTTTCAAGCAACCATGTAAAGTGGTTTTAATTGTTTTCGGAAGGCAAAAAATATATTCAACTTATTTGGTCATCCACAATTTTATGTGACCCCTTTTGACCTTGCGTGTCTGATTTTCTTTCTTTTCTTGTTTGGTAAATGGTCTGATTTCATGATGCCATTTGTGTAGATTTTACGTTGCTGAAGTTCTTCTCGCATTAGAGTATTTACACATGCTTGGGGTTGTCTACCGAGACTTGAAACCAGAAAATGTAATGGTTCGGGAAGATGGTCACATCATGCTTACAGATTTTGACTTGTCACTTAGATGTGCTGTGAATCCAACATTGCTCCAATCATCTTCACCTGTTGTTGAGTCCCCAAAGAGGGTTTCCAGTCCATGCTCAGAATCTAGCTGCATAGACCCTTTCTGCCTCCATCCATCCTGGCAAGTCCCCTGCTTCACCCCCAAGTTTCTCTCTGCTGCAGCAAAAACCAAAAAGCTTAAATCTGAACTAGCTGCCCAAGTTAGCCCACTGCCTCAGCTTGTAGTCGAGCCAACCAATGCACGATCCAATTCCTTTGTAGGAACGCACGAATACTTGGCTCCAGAGATAATCAAAGGAGAAGGTCATGGGAGTGCAGTGGACTGGTGGACCTTTGGAATCTTTCTCTATGAGCTTTTATATGGCAAGACACCCTTTAAAGGTCAAGGAAATGAGGATACACTGGCCAACGTGGTGTCAAAATGTCTCAAGTTCCCCGAAAGCCCTATAGTTAGTTCTCATGGAAGAGATTTGATCAGACGGCTGCTGAAAAAGGAACCCGAGAATAGATTAGGTTCTGCAAAAGGGGCAGCTGAGATCAAACAGCACCCATTCTTCGAGGGTCTGAACTGGGCTTTGGTACGATGTGCGACACCACCGGAGCTGCCCAACTTCTATGATATGGGGAATGTCACTTCAGATTCATCTTCCCAGAATAAAGAGAGTACCAAGTGTCTGAAAGATCCCAACGGTACAGGGGAGGATATAGAGTTTGAGATGTTTTAGCCTTAAAAGTATGATGTGAGAAAAGGAAGATGTTTGATTTTCGTTTTCAACTGGAGATCTCTCATCCTTGTTGTAACTGATATGTAGCATATTGATATAGCATATGGTGTATACATGTAATGCAGAACAATTGTGGACAGTTAAAATGAGTACCAAATACTTACCACTGATTTTGAAACCTGAGACTCACTCGTATGTAGGTTTGTATAACAAATCAAGCTATCTGGATTCGAAACTGACTCTTACTCTCAATTGATTTAGATCACAATTGGATCTGATCTACATAATAAAGTGATAATCTTGGATATAACAAATTATCACGATGAAATGTAATGAACACGTGTTTGAGACGATTTTTTTTTGGTGAATAGGTAAAGAATAATAAGTTGTGCTTGAAAGTGGAATGTAGCCAAGAGTAGCTAAAACTCCAATCTTAACTATTTTGAAAAGCCAATCTCCAAAATTTTTCTCCAATCCACTCTTTATCCCACTAGTTATTTTAGCAAATCCATTTTTCACTCGTTAGGAGTAGCGAGCAGATTTTGGCTTAGTATTTGTTCTTTTGCGCCAAAAATGGTCTTCATCTTCTTTGGCTGTGGCTTCACCGTCTTTAGGTATGGAGCTCTTTCTCTCTGTCTCTCTCTTTGTTGGAGTCGACAAAAATCTAAGGTGATAGATTTTGGTTCATCCTCACCCAGGTGTGGCGTCCAATTCATCCAAGGTCATTCCAATTCTTCCATCAGTGCTCCATCAATTAAGGTTTTTTATTCCCATTTTGTTTTATTGGTGGGACGTGCGAAGAATGAAACAATTGCTCAAACCCCCAATTTTTTCAATAAATTTTCTTTCATTTGCCTTCGGCCGTCAAATCAATGATATGAGGACCTTTTTAATGTTTCATTAGTATGTTGCATTCGTCCGTCAATCTATAATTTTTCATACGATAATATATATATATATATATATATATATAT